CACTTTTTTTTTTCCCTTAGGAAACCAGCACTATGATTCTTAAAAATACAGTGACTGAAACCTTATAAGGTTCCAAGTATGATATTAACTCTTTAAAAATCACTATCAGGTACTTTTTCTCCACTCCTTCAATAGGAATCTCTTTGTCTAAAAACCTGGTTTGAGAGGACAGCAGAATGAGGCCCAAAAGGCACTCATTTGCTATAGATATTTTAGCAGCTATTGGAGTCTTTTTTTCTTCTCAACTGAGTTTCAACACAGCATTAGAATGATGTATTTAAGACAGCAAGCCTTATTTTTACAGCTACACAGTTCATCTGGTTGTAAGAACTGATGGGGATAAAACATTGTCAGAGTATTTTCCCAGAGGGTCATCAGAAACACCTGCTCCTGGCCTGGGACGTCCTAAGAGTCCCATAGGCACACTGTATATGCAATGGGGGGGGGGGGGGACTCCTCTTTATCAAAGTATAATTAGCACCAGCTATGTCATCTCTTTAAAACCCACAGGGTTGCAGAGGGACCACTCTGAGAAGGTAAAGTAGTTCTGTGACCTTCCCAGATAGCAAAAACAGAATTAGAAAACAGAAAGAAACATAGAACAAACTTAATTTTATAAATTTCATAGCCAATAGTCTCAAAATTTATTTTATTAAGTGATGGACAAATAACTTGGAACATTTTGCCCCTAAAACTTGTTTAAAACAAAGGACTATATAAGAGCTTATATTCTTCAGGGTCTTTAGGAGTTCTATTCAGAAATAATCATTAGGAAGCTTAACTGAAGGAATGGGGAAGGAATGTAATAGGCTTCAACTGTACTGGCTTTAATTTTTAGACGAAGTGGTGAATAAATGGTATTCCCTATACTGTATTTCATGGATGTACATTTTACCATATCTGAAATTGGCATGTGCCCTGCAATCATGTCATAGTTTCAATGGTCGGACTTCCTTCTTTGTGAGACAGGAAATAAGGATTCCCCTCACAATCCATGTCATCTTACATGTATGTGGAATATGGTATTATTCATTACATCCTCTGTATTCCTTTATATTGCAAAATAAAGTAAAAACTCGTGTACTTGCATTACAACAAAACACAGATCCTAAATGATTTAATAAAATAACCAATGTATCTGAGAAATTCAGGCTGTGGAGAACATAAGGGCTCAAAGATTAAAAATAAAAAGGTTAAAAAATGTTAAAATTGGATCTGGGCCTTTAAAAATTTAAGGCTTCAGCCTGGACCTGTCCTGGGGTATTTTAGATAAGGGGAATAGTAGCGCAAAAGTAAAATTACTAGTGAAAATGATACTCGGAGAACTGTGGAAGGCTGTTTGTTGTTATTAAAAGATAATGTGTTATGTGTATTAAGACTACATCAGTCAGCAATATATATAACAGGAAGGGGGAAAATAGAGATAAAAATAAAAGCCACCTAGAAGATAATATATTTCACACGGCAGATTATGAAAGCTTGGACCAGAGTGACAGCAATGAGAATAAAAAAGAAAAAGAGAGATTTCTGTTGAATATATAATTTTCAAGAAGCTTGAGGCACCAGATTTAAGAATAGTTTTACCTCAACCATCTCAAAACATTTGAAGAGAAAAAAATAGTATAAAACAATTAGACTGGACCAGTGGGTGTCAACCCAGATGCATATAAAAAATACCCATGGAGAGAACCAGCGGTGTAAGGGGACATATGTGTCCAAGTATCAAGGCTGGATCTGAAAACCACTGTCCTAAGCATTTGCTACATCCATAAGGTCATCAAATGCCCAAAGGCCTAAGCTGTTTAACGAGTTCCTGAGAGACCAGAGGAGAGAGGCTTCTTCAAATTCACCAGGAATGGAATCAGGTGGAGTATGAAGATTTACCACTACTTCTTTCACCCAGTCCTAGACAGTATTAAAATAAACAATTCCACCACCTTCAGGGATGGCACCTAGCAGTAATACTGTATCCCAACAATCATTACTTCATGTGACAAATGTCTCTGACAGAAAAACTGATACAGTCCTTTCTCTATAGAAACACCAGTCTAGGAGGAGTGACAGACAATATTAGGCCCCAGCTGAGAGGTGGAAGCAACCAGTTAGTTGTCCAAGGAGCTAAATCTTGTTGAAAAGATGAATTTGGGGTGGAAGGATACATCAGAAATTCCAAGAAAGGGAATCATCATGTATAAAAAGAAATATTTCATTTTATACTATCCACAGTGTTTTTCAATATGTACTCCAGAAACACTGTATATCAAATATCATTTAATACTACTGTCCTAGAGGGTAGATCACAAATCTACAACATAAGTAGATGTTGAGGACTTAAAAGTTAATGTTGATCAATAAATTTTCAGATACTATCACATTTAAGTAGTGCTATTTATTTCCCCAGAGAAATTCATATACTCCCATCTTACAAATTACACAGATGATTAACTCCATAATGGAAATATAAGTCTACAAAGTCAAATGCAAAAAAATCTTTCACTTTCACTGTAAACTGAAAGTGCAAAAAATACCCAAAAATAAATGAGATGAAGAACTTGCTCAAAATAGGTCAATTTTACTTTCAATGGGATTCTTTAACTGTTTCTAACTTGTGAGCTAGTTCTGTACAAAGGATTACAGCAGTCCGAAAACATTTCTAGCTTTAGTATTAATCAAAATAGTTAAATGTAAAGAAATCAGGACATTATTAACAGGAGACTTCCTTGATTCCAAATTAGTCACTCAGAAAACCGATCCTGCTTGCTGGCATTGTGGAGGATTACCTTACCTTCTAGACCAATTAAAAGCAGACACCACAGCAGGGATCCACCCAATTTGGGGGGGGGAGTTTAGTGCATGATGGGATATGCAGTTTTTAGGGAAGCACATGCAACAATTTAAAGTAGGAAAGAATACCTTTAATGGGGGGGGGGGGACACACACTGCTTCAACCTAATAGTCTAGCCCATTAGTCTCCAGGAACTGACTTTATGTTGACCCCTATAGTCACAAAAGCACCACCCAGTTTTGATACAACCCCATCCAGACACTCTAAGTACAGTTACACCCCTTCAAAGTTAACAGCGAGGTTATATGATTGGGAAGTTGCTTCTAAGATGGAATGTGACTTCTGAAGATATATAACGAAAGACCACCTAAGATGTGTAATCAGTACTACCAGCTGGCCACAGGAATGCCCCGCTGGCAAAATCCATCACAAGCTGAAAACAAAATCTCTTGCCCCGATCACATCTTTCTGGTTCAGGTGGTCTTCATCACCAGACTTCTTCTAGTATTACCCCCAGCAAATCTGCTGAACCCTTGCTGAGTGAAGACAGAGTTAGAAGCAAGTGAAAGTTATACACCAACTTTTATTGATACTTTTAAATACAAACCGTTTTTCATTAAAGGTATTGCACCAGGAGTTAAAAAATTAAGTACTGTAATCAGCATGAATACATTGAGCCATCCCAAGCCTGAAAATAATCACGGCTCTCTGTGGTAAAGATTTGGGGCTTTAAAAAAAAAAAAAAATCAGGTCTACTGAGTCAGAAATCCTACTTGTTCTCACCCCCCCACCCCCAACTTTTTGAGTTAGCTGTATCCTAAGGAATTCACACACCTGTTCAGCGGTTATAGCACCCTGAAGCGAACTATTTCTCCCCATAATGGTTACTTTCTCACTGGAGTCTTTCTGGACATTTTTCAGAAATCCTAATTAAAATCGACACTTTAGACAGATTTCTGACGGCATTACGCTTTTCACCTACTCTTTTTGACGGGATTCTGTTGGTGCTGAGATGTGATCAGCTTAATGGAGAAAGTGTGCACCATGCGATGGGACAAAATAATTGTCGGCCTCAAGAAAGCACTTATTACCATTCTGCAGCCACTGAGTGACCTTGGCTAGAAACCAATGGCTGCGGGGCGTGGGGCAAGTAGAAAGGAAGTACTCTGGGGGCCCAGGGCCTCTGCATCTGGCGAAACATTCGCTTCCGACATAAGGCCTTGGGACGCCTCGTTTGCAGGATGGAGAGCATTAACATTGACTCGGCCAGAAACTGTAAAGACACCGTTTGGAAGATGGAGAGCATTAACACTGACTCAGCCAGGAAAAAGATACCAATCTAAGCGGGGTAGGGGGTGGTTAAACCCTCTGCAAATAGGAAGTGCCGCAAGAGCAACGAGGTAAAGATGTGGCCCTGCGTGAGCGGGGCCTTGGGGTTTTCTTCCCGGATCTCGTTCCCAGGCAATCAGCACCTACTTCTCCGCTCTCGGCGAGGCAGCTCGGCTCGCCGGGGGTGGGAAATCTGCCGGCTGCAGCCGGGCCTGCTGAAATGGTGGAGGGCGCTGGCGCTGCGCAGGCCCAACCGTTCCCGCGCCGTCGCCCCCCGCCCGGGCCTCCCGCCCTCCCTCCCGCGCCCCGGCTGAGTGGGCTCACCAAGGGGCGAAGAACTCGACGAGCATGAGGCCCGCAGAGCCCGTGTCGGAGATGCGACTCTCGAAGTTGTCGTCAGTGAGTTCCAGCACGTCGGAGGCAGAGGCGAGACCGGCCGCGGCGAAAAGCAGCGCCACGCCGGGGAACAGCGCTCGGCAGCGGGGGCGCATGGCTACGAGGTGAGGTTAGGGGCGGCCGGGAGGGTCGGGGCTCGGCGGGGACTGCGGAGGCCGGCCGCGACCACACAACCTGTGCCTGCGCTCGCGCGTCTGGCCCAGGCGGACCTGCAGCCGGAGGTCCCAACCCCCCAGCTGGGCTCCGGCCGCAGTGTGGCAGCCGCCGATTGGCTGTGAGGCGCCTGCGTCGGGCGGGCGGGACCAGCTGGTAACCGCCGAGTGGCCGGAGTGCGGGGCGGGGCCAAAGCGGCAGGCGCCCGGGCGAGCAGGGCTGGGAGGGGTCCTGGGCCGGAGGCTGGGGCTGGGGCTGGGGCTGGGCCCGCCTGCGAGCCGGAACCCAGGGAGAGAGTGAGGTGGAGTGGGGCGGGGCGGAATGGGGCGAACTGGGGCGGAGTGGGGCGGGGCTGAGCTAGAGATGGGGCGCCGAGGCGCTGGGAGCCGACCGTGAGCTCATCTTTCGTAGGGAGAGCTGAGTTCTGGGGGCGCCAGAGCGGAGGCGGAGACGCAGACTTGAAGGCGGGCTGAGTGGGCGGAAGAGAGCCTTGGCTGAGGTGAGGCCCAGAAGCGGGAATTGAGAGATGGAGGCTGCACCTGAGGGACGTAGTTGGGACAGGACCTGTTTTCCAAATGCCAGGCTGCTACAATTTGTCCAGTTCCTCTTGGTTTGTCTTTCGGGGGCAGCCTTAAGTCCTCCCACTGCCCCTCCTCATTGCACTGCCCAATTACCTCAGGTCCAGGTGCTGCTCCGATTTCCTCTTTGTCCAGCCCTGGGATGCCTGCCCTGTGGTCACACAAGTGAAGGTGCTTGGCCCCTTAGTCTACTGCGCAATGTCTCTCTTACGACTCTTTGCTCCTTTTGTTTGAGAAAACCTTGAGTCTGGTACAATGTGTTTGACTTCTTTAAGGGCAGAAAGGATGGGAGAAGGAGAAGTAAACCTCTAATCTTTGGTCCTCTCCAAGAATGAAATGACACTTGGTTTTTCCATTATTTTACAGACATGGCCACCAGTCACCCAACAGGACACGTGCAACTGCCCCGAGCGGATGCCATTCGTTCACGTCTCATTGATACTTTCTCTCTCATCGAGCATCTGCAAGGCTTGAGCCAAGCTGTGCCACGACACACTATCCGAGAGATAGTTGGTCAGCAGCCTGTTTCTTAACTACCATAGATTTAAGTCTCCTCGTCACACCCTCCAAAGTGTAGAAAGCAGAGACCATTTTAAGGGTGAAAAACTCAGGGAAGATTGGCTTGCTTGCTAGTTTGTAAATGATATCAAACTTGATAAATCAAAGGCTTTGTAAAGAAAGCTCTTTGAGCCCAGGAGATCGCTCACTTTTAGGCTTAGGATAACTACTAGCCCTGCCCAACTTGGAAGTTTCTATTTCCAAGACTCTAAAAATTTTGAGGGTTGAACCTGCTGCCTTTATTCTTGGGCGTGGATAGTGTTGGTCATAAGTGATATATTAGCTCATATTCCAAACTAATGTTAATTGCAGTGAGAAAGAACAGCAAGGCAAGCTCTGCACTAGGGGACCCATTATGTAACCAGTATCCCTGGCCCTGGTCCTGCCTGTTCTTCATATCCCCCAGAGAATTCTCTTTATATGTATCCACTGTCCCTTTTAATTTTTGGTCTAGATCCTTCCCGTCAAAAGAAGGTTATGTTGGGAGATCAACACCAGCTGGTGCGATTCTCCATAAAGCCTCGACATACAGAACAAATTACACATGGCCGGAGGCTGATGAGCAGGCTTCGAGTGCGCTGCAGTCAGAGGCCACCTCTTTCCTTGTGGGCTGGATGGGTCCTTGAGTGTATCCTTTTGTGCCCCTCATTTTTAATCGTTCGCCTTTACTGCCTCTCTTGCCTTATCATCTGCCTGAGGACTTATTTTCCCTTTTCCAAACTCCCATTTTCTTCTCATCCTCACTGGTTCTCTTCTTGCCCTTATGATATCACCTGTATAAGAAAGAATTCCACTCTGTATGTTTCCTTAAGAGAAGACAGGTCCTCTCTTCACAAACTTCATCATCTTTCTCATCTTTTTGAATACGATTGTACTGATGGTTGAAATAGGTGAGAACTGAGAACTGACATTGGATGGAAGAGGAAGTGGCTGTGGGTCATTTTTCCTATAAATTGATCATTTTTAAATTTTTGAATGTTACTTGAATTGTGATAGAGACAATTATATTAAGTCTTGGAGTAGGATTTATGCAACTGCTAAGATATCAAAATATTTGAAGGGCTCTCAAGAGTGGTAGATATAAAGTAGTCTAGACACAGAGTATAATAGACTTATGGGCAACCAAAGATGTGAAGACCAGTTATATTTCTTCTGTCAGTTTAATTTAATAGTTGTTTAAATTAGCCTTTTGTATTAGAGATATTGGTGCCTATCAGTGAGTGATGCAACATTTACATTTTTTACAAGTATGTTCAATGTTAAGTCCCAAATAAGAAAGCTCACAAAGTATGTAAAGTTAGCTACAACTAAAATATTAGATGAGCCAAAAAATGATTAAAGAGTAAATGATTCTAAAATCAGTCCTAGGGGGACCTGGGTGGCTCAGTAGGTTAAAGCCTCTGCCTTTGGCTCGGGTCATGATCCCATCCATGGTCCTGGGATCGAGCCCCGCATCGGGCTCTCTGCTCGGTGGGGAGCCTGCTTCCTCCTCTCTCTCTGCCTGCCTCTCTGCCTACTTGAGATATCTGTCTGTCAAATAAATAAATAAAATCTTTTAAAAAAATTAAAAAAAAAACAAAAGAAATGTATTAAAAGCAAAAGAACATCTAAAAAACAATGGCTCATTTAATTATCATCTCAAACAAACTGCTCAGAATTGATGAAAAGGGGGCACCTGGGTGGTTCAGATGGTTAGGTGTTTGCCTTCAGCTCAGGTTATGATTTCCAGGTCCTGGGATCGAGCCCCACATTGGGCTCCCAGCTCAGCGGGGAGTCTGCTTCTTCCTCTCCCTCTGCCTCTCCTGCTTGTGCTCTGTCTCGTTCTCTCTCAAATGAATAAATAAAATATGTATTAAAAAAAGAAATGATGAAAAGGACAGTAGAAATACTCCTTGTTTCATCCTCATTGTTTCAGGGAATTTTCCCACTTTAATGTTTTTTGTTTGTTTGTTTGTTTTAGACTTTTTAAAAAAAAATCTTATTTTTTTATTTGACAGAGATCACAAGTAGGCAGAGAGACAGAGAGAGAAAGGGAAGCAGGCCCCCTGCTGAGCAGAGAGCCCGATGTGGGGCTCTGCGGGGCTCAATCCTAGGACCCTGAGATCATGACCTTAGCCAAAGGCAGAGGCTTGAGCCACTGAGCCACCCAGGCACCCTGGAGTTTTCCCATTTTAAAATGGTCTTTTAATGCAATCAGCTCAAAGATATTTAAATATACAACAGTACTTGATACCCACTACAGTATGCTATATACTTTGAAGTACTTATTCTTTTTAGAGAGAGGGAGAAAGAGTATGCACGCATGTGGAGAGGGGAATGGCAGAGGGAGTGGGAGAGAGATAATCTTAAGCAGGCTCCATTCCTCAGCGTTGACTTGCAACGTGGTGTGGGGCTTGATCTCACAACCCTGAGATCATGACCTGATCAAAAGTCAGATGTTTAACCAACTGAGCCACCCAGGTACACCTGTATCTTGACGTATTTTATTTTCTCCCCATTGTGAGGATTTTGAAATAAGTCACCCATATTTCCTATTTCTTGTATGATAACTGGCATGTATTTGCCTTGTGGTGTTAAGGGTATAGTCTTAAGCCTTGGAATAAAGTAAACAGCCATAAATGTCAGGATTTCCTGGATCTAATGGACAAATAAAAATAGAATAGCACTAACCATTCTAGTTGGTAAAACAGTTGGATATGAAACATGATCACTGTGCTACAGGATAGGTAGATTCCTTGAGTGGCCATTATCTGACAAGTTCAGCAAAATTGTATCTTATTAAATACATTCTCATGGTAGAAAGGCAGGAGAGATTTTGCAAAGGCAAAGAATTTGTGACTAACAGATGTCTTTGAACAGACCAATTCATGTGATAGACATTGAGACTGTTTAAGTTTTTAAAAAAACCAATTTTCCAGATCATAGAGAATGTTGTTATAGATAGGGGAAAAAATAGTCATTAACAAACAGTTCTATAGATCAAAGCTCCCCAACCTTTTCTTTCTTTCTTTCTTTCTTTTTTCTTTCTTTTTTTTTTTTTTTTAGAGAGAGTACATATGCTGCTGGGAGTTGGAGGGTTATTAAGCAGGCTCCAAGCCCAGCCCAGGGCCTGACAGGGGACTCCATCTCATGACTCTGAGATCATGACCTGAGCTGAAATCAAGAGTTAGGTGCTTAACCAACTAAACCATCCAGGTGCCCCATCCCCAATCTTTATGGTCTTGTGATTTTGTTTCCCAGTAATACAACTATAAACTTGTAAACCTCCTTAGGAGTTTAATCATTCCATTAGTTCTCTATGAGATAAAGAAGCAAGTTGAAGTAGAAGTAATATTTCAGACTAACATTATTAAATATTGTATTCTAATGTGTATAATATACTTTTAAAAATTATAATGTTAGCACATTTTTACTTTTGCCATTTTTAAGTGATTCCTGCTGTTTTTAAATATATGAAAAAAATAAATATATGATTTGCCCATAAGTGAATTCTTTTTTAAAGATTTATTTATTTGACAGACAGAGATCACAGAGAGAGAGAGAGAGGAGGAAGCAGGCTCCCTGCTGAGCAGAGAGCCCAATGTGGGGCTCTATCCCAGGACTCTGGGATCATGACCTGAGCCGAAGGCAGAGGCTTTAACCCACTGAGCCACCCAGACACCCCCATAAGTGAATTTTTAAAGGCCATTATATATTGTTTGGCTCAGGGATCAAATATATTTATTTTATATATTATATTCTTTTAATTTAAGTTTTCTTTTTTAAACATTGAGATATAATTGACATATAACATTAATTTCAGGTTTACAGCATTATGTATTATATGTTAAGTACATCTTATATGTTAAGGTGTGGAGGAAATTTAATTATGTGTTATGGTATAAAAAAATCTACTTTCACAATGATATTGGTAATTCTACTATTCACTTTAAACATCAGTTGGCTTATTTTTATAATTTTCACATTTTGTTTCCAAATGATGAGAGGGAGAAAAGAAAGATTTGACTCATTTGCAATCCATTTTCTGAAAATAACACATTGCAAGTGTGAATAGTCCTTATTTCCAACAACAACAAAAAATTCATGTATAACGTCATTAAAATTTTTTACATTGGTTTTGAGGTTCTAGAGATATCTTGATGTGCTATATATAAGAATAATTCTCCCAAGTTTATCTCAAGATGATCTTCATCAGAGTCTATAAATTGCATTCATCTGATCAAAAACTTTATATAGCATTAGTGTTCCTTACTTCATTGTGGATATAATGAGCCAAATCTTCTTTCTTTTCTCCTCTCATCATTTAAAAAACATACATGATTTGTGCACAAATGAATTTTTAAGTGACATTATTTGTTGTTTTGGTGTGGGGATCAAATTTGTTTTATGTATTATGTATTATGTTTTTGTTTTTATTTTTTATTTTTTTTGTATTTTATGTTTTAAAATTTAATATTATGGTTATAACCAGCCAAAAAACGGTTACAATTTCAAACTATTTGACTGTCAAAATTGACAGCAGTTTGTGTTGTTCAGAGTGATTGAATATGTCCTTGTAATCTCCATTAACTGCCAAGGATATCAGTCATAGTGCATTTGGAGGCTCTCAGATTGTTCTGTTTCAAAGGGAAACGTATTAGGGGTACCTGGGTGGCTCAGCCATTAAGCATCTGCCTTTGGTTCAGGTCATGATCCCAGGGTCCTGGGATGGAGCCCCACATGGGGCTCCTTTCTCAGTGGGAAGCCTGCTTCTCCCTCTCCCACTCCCCCTGCTTGTGTTCCCTCTCTCCCTGTCTCCCTCTCTCAAATAAATAAATAAAATCTTAAAAAAAAAAAAAAACGAACAAAGAACCAAATAATTTTTTTAAAGATTTTATTTATTTATTTGCCAGAAAGAGCACCAGCAGGGGGAGCAGCAGGCAGAGGGAGAGGCAGGCTCCTCGCTGTGCAGGCAGCCCTATATGGGACTCCATCTCAGGGCCCTGGGATCATGACCTGAGCCAAGGCAAAGGTTAACTGACTGAGCCACCCAGGTATCCTAAGAACCAAATAATTTCTTGTTATAGCTCACTATGTCTCATGAATCTGGCTTCTTGTTCGTACTTCCTTATCAAACACTTTACATATCATGGCCCTACATTTTCATTCTATTCTCAAGGCCCATAGCTTCTTTGTGAAGTTTGGGACTGGAGTGCCAGTGTAGCAGAAGAGTGGTGGTAGTGAAGAGAGCAATCCCTTGGTTACTGTGTGACCTCCGAGTGGGAAGGCAGTGACTTGCAGCTGTTAGACATATTGATACCAGCAGGAGAAGAGTTGCAGCTGTTTTTCATGGTCAATTCTTTCCTTTCTTGTATTTCACAGGTTGAAAAAAAATCAATGTTAAGAAGAAAAACAAAGAAAAATGGAACAGCAATGGGCACACTGTGGTTTATAATAGTTTCTGATCATTCTATACCCTTTGGTTTCCCAGTTCCTTAACCTTTATTCATCCTTTGCTCTACTCTCACAGAATTGCTTGAATCCTCAAACGCCAAATTGTGGTCACTCAAGCTGACTCTGGAGGTGGCAGCTTGGTTCATCTTGCTTATTTTCATCTTGGAGATCCTTCTTATGTGGATATCCAGCTTTTTCCTCTTCTGGAAGAATGCCTGGAATGTCTTTGACTTTGTTGTCACCATATTGGTAAAGATAAATATCCTGAGGATTAGTTTGGTGGGTTGAGGAATGAGCCTAGGTGAATCAAAATGACAAGAAAAGTTAATTAGATCACAAGAATAATGTCATTATTTTGATATTTAAAAAAAAATTTCAGTCAGTCTTTGCAGGAGTTGTTGGTACTAGTAGCAAGACAGAATTTAACCTCAACATTACCCCAGCAAGAACATCTACCAGTTACTAAGCACTTACTAAGTGCCAAGCACCATTCTAAGTGTTTTTCATGTTCTGAGTATTTTCTCACCACTTGAGCTCCACAACAACCCAATGAGGTACGCACTGTGCTTATCCCCTTTGAAGTGCAGGGTTTTAAGTAATTTAGTAGAGGAAGGCTCAATTGGAAACAGTCCTCAGAGAATGCTGTTCAAGGGATAATGCCCAAGGAACTATGAAGAAGATGAGATAGGGGTAACTGTGAAGAAGAAGGGGTAACTGTGCATGGGTGCTTTGGGTACATTTTACTCATAATCTGTGTGTTTCCCACAGTCCCTGCTTCCGGAGGTTGTGGTGCTGGTGGGGGTAACAGGCCAGTCTGTGTGGCTCCAGTTGCTGAGGATCTGCCGGGTGCTAAGGTCTCTCAAACTCTTTGCAAGATTCCGTCAAATTCGAGTCATTATTTTGGCCCTGGTGAGGGCTCTCAAGGTGATTTGACTGTTGCAGCTAAACCAACTGGGCAGGGTGGATAAACATGGGAATTTAACATAAAACAAGGCTGGGTGGGTCAAAGAGGGACGTATAAAATGTCATTGGATGAGAAAGGGCTGGGGGCAGGTGCTGTGGTGTAGAGATAACTGGACTTGGGAGTGGAAGTGAGGGTTTTGCAGGGGGGCAAGAGAGGGGAGGATTGCCAGGGTGGGCTTAACTCTGCTGTAGCCTAGTTTGGCCCATCTCTGACTCAAGGTCATGCCCTCTAGAGCATGACCTTCCTCCTGATGTTGCTGCTCATCTTCTTCTACATTTTTGCTGTGACTGGTGTCTACTTCTTTGAGGATTACACCCGTTCTACTCGCCAGGACCTGGAGTACCCCATGTTCTTCTCGTAGGCAGGACAGGGGTGGGGAGAATTGAGGGTGGGGGGAGAGAGTTTGGGCAAGAGACTGGGAAGCTAGTCCAAAGTAAGTAATACAAAAAGTATGGTCTATTGTAAGGAATTGGAATAGAACACAGTAAGGAGAAAAAAGAAAGCAAAGGAATATGGAGTAGTAGTAGCCCTGATTTTGAGGAAAGGGTGACTAGTTCCAGGTTTGCTCTGGATTTTGAAATTTAAACGTCCCCTCCTCAGCCATCTTTTAGATAGTAGTATACTCCAGTGTCTAAGCTCTGGTTTCTATACTCACTTACCTCTTTTGAAAAATGGAAATAATAGTAGTACCTCGTCAGAATATAGGAATAAGCGTAATACACTTAGCACAGATTTTTTTTTTTTCAATCGAAACCTTGTATTTTATAAAATGGGCAATGTACAGTTAAGGAATTTAGCACAGATTTTGACACAATGTAAGTGATCAACACAGGCTACTATGACTCTGAAGTCACTGGTTTTACCCCAAAGGCTAGGTGTGGTTACACATGCACACACCTAGATTAATTCAAAAGTAAAATCCTGATAAGATCTTTGTCTAGAGAACAGGATTGCCAGTAGATAGTAAATTGGATTTCAATGAGATAATGTTACTCATGAATTGGAATCCAATCTTGTCAGCCCCTCTTAGGTATCAGACTTAAAGGGTAGCTTTGTAAGAGTATTGAGTTGGGAGAGTCCTATATATTTATCCAATGCAGGCCCAGGTATTCTCAATAAGTTGTATATGGAAGACTAGGAAGGAAAGAAGGAAAATTCAGATAACTTCCTGAAATCTTTTGTGGAACATTCATTATTATTCATTGTTTGGGATCACATGTTTATGTCACATACCTATCCATTTACTTAAGGATGACTTCATACCAAGGAACTAAATAGGAATGATGTTTGCTAAATTTTTAAGTGATCTTCTGTTCGATGAAGTCCATAGGACAGTGAAGAATGAACTTAGAAAAAACATATGTAGCTGGTGATTCATTCAATCTTTAAAAATTCAGCCACTACCTATTTACTGAGCACCTACTATGTTCCAGGCAATAATGGAATAGTGAGAGATATTCATGGATTATTCAGGATAAAGGAAAACCTAACAAAACAACTGCAAGCTTAAGAATGCTTAGCTAAAAAGTTGTTAGAAAAGAAGCCAAAGTCAGAGCAAACTACAAAGAAATGTTCTTATGTTGCTTTAAGAGTAAGAAAATACTGTTTCTTAGAGATTTAGATCTCTGTTCTGTCTGTACCCATACCTCCTTTCTCTCTAGGGACCTGCTGAATTCCCTCGTGACAGTATTCATCCTCTTCACCATGGATCATTGGTATGCACTGCTTCAGGATATCTGGAAGGTTCCTGAAGTTAGCCGTGCCTTCAGCAGCATCTATGTCATCCTTTGGTTGTTACTTGGTTCCATTATCTTTCGAAACATTATAGTAGCCATGATGGGTAAGCACAGAAGAGAGGAAACTTGGTTGTGAGGGGGTGGCTGGGAAGAAATTAGGATGAAAGCTAGTATTGAGAGATTATGCATAGAGAGAACCTGAGGTAGCAGGAAGGCTTGGGGCCTGGAATGGATATTTCACTTGGTTTCTCCCCACCCAAGCCCTCTCCCCAGGGCTAGTCACGCAATCTCCCAACTCCTAATGGCCTTTCGGGGCAGTTACTAACTTCCAGAATATCAGGAATGAGCTGAACGAGGAGATCACACATCTGGAGGTTCAGCATAAAGCTGACATATTCAAGCGGCAGATTATCCAAAGGTCTGCTGCCCCATTTTCAAACTCAAGTTTAGTTCTAAAGGGTATCCCAACCTCATTCCCTGTTTCCATTCCTTGGCCTTGAACCCATTTTTCCCTTCTCTTCCACAGAAGATTTGCCCCAGGGTTAGAATTCCCCAGCTCTCGAATATTGCCTGATTCTTTATCCACTCTTGGGACTTTCCTACTCTTTTTACCTTCTTACATCAATGTGTTCTCCTCAGTTTTCTTCACTTTATGATCTGAATTGTTTTCTTTTCCCCTTCCATGCTCCTGCATCAGTATAACTCTCTTCACTCTTCTGTGTTTTTTGCTTTGCAGGAGACAAAATCTGTCCCCTGAGGTAATGAGGTCAAGCATAAGCAAAGTGGATACCAGGTTAGGAGTGTAAATGTGAAATGGGATGGACAAATGTGAAGGAAGAGAAGGTAGAAAACCAAAGACAAAGGTTGACTTTGAGAGATAATCCATGTATTCAATAACTATTTATTGTAGTAGGTTAAGTGGTGCCCCCCCCCAAAGAAATATCCATGTTCTAACCCCTGAACCTGTGAACATGATTTTATTTGGTAAAAGGGTCTTTGCAGATGCAATTTAGGATCTTGAGATGCAATCATCCTGCAATATCCAGGTAGGCCTTAAATGCAGTGAAAGTCCTTTATAAAAGACAGAAGAGGAGAAGACATAGACATTGAAGAAGAGATGATGTGAAGATGGACATAGAAATTAGAGAATTGGAGTCATGCAACCACAAGCCAAAGGAAGCCAATGAATGCTAGGCAACTGCCAGAAGCTAAAGGAAGTAAGAAATCTTCTCCCCTAGTGGTTCCAGAGGGAGTATGGTCCTGGAGACAGCTTGATATCAGACTTCTGTCTCCCAGAATTGTGAGAGAATAAGTTTCTGTTATTTTAAGCTACCAAGTTTGTGGTAATTTATTACAGCAGTGATAGGAAACTAATACAAACACCTTCTATGAAACAGATGTTATTCTAGACCCTGAGTGCTCAGCAGTGGACAATAAAGCAGAAAGAAAAATAAGAAATTCATTCAAGAAATAATTATTTTAGGGGCACCTGGCTGACTCAGTTGGCAGAGTGTTTAACTCTTGATCTTGGGGTCATGAGTTCAAACCCCACTTTGAGCAATAATAATAATTATTATGTATATAAACTTTTTTTAATTAAGTAAACTCTGCACACAATGTGGAGCTTGATCTCACGACCCCAAGATTGAGTCAAATGCTCTACTGACTGAGCCAATCAGGTGCCCCAAGAAATAAATATTGAATATCCATTAGGTGCTTGGGCTGTAGATGAGGAAGATAAAAAGTCCAAGAGCTATGGCTTGGGGCTTCTCAAGAGATAGAACCGAGGGGGCAAAGCTATAGTTGTGGTTAAATGGGCATAGACCTGGGCACCTGGGTGGCTCAGTGGGTTAAAGCCTCTGCCTTCGGCTCAGGTCATGGTCTCAGGGTCCTGGGATCGAGCCCTACATCAGGTTCTCTGCTCAGCAGGGAGCCTGCTTCCCTTCCTCTCTCTCTGCCTGCCTCTCTGCCTACTTGTGATCTCTGTCTGTCAAATGAATAAATAAAAAAAAAATCTTAAAAACAAAAAAAGAAATGGGCATAGACCTACAGAGCAAGGAGCTGAAACTTCGCAAAATAAGGTGGAGTGTAGAATGTGGAAGCCTGAGTAAAATGGAACACAGAAGCTATGTGGTGAGGGGCACTAATAGGGATATACTACACGGGATCGTTGAAGTCAGAGGTTGTTAAAAGCTCGAATTTTGGGAGTGGTTGGGCTCTCATGACCTTGAGCTTCAGGGGATGGCAAGGGTCAGGGCCAGCGTAATGAAAGAACTAGCCACATCTCATAAATGTATCTGAAGGAATAAAATTTCTCCTTTCACTTATAGAGATCCCAATCAACGAAGGGAATCTTTGGTCTTACCAGCAACTTTTGAAGAGTCTAAACACAGTGCTGATGAAGAGGGTTCAAGAACATCTGCACTGAAAATAGAAGAGTCTTTGTCAAAAGCGAAAAAGTCCCCATCTTCCTCCTCCTCCTCTTCTTCCTCCTCATCTTCATCTTCCTATTATTCCTCCTCTTCTGAATCCAGATATCTAGACCCCATCGGTAAGCAGAGTTTCTTTCATTTGAATTCAGACTCCTCGAGGAGACATCCCAGTCTTAGTAGGAGTTCTCCCACTGTATCTACTTCCCAGTTTTCTCCACTAGTCTGATTTTCTGGTCTTAATTGCTTTCTTTGTGCTTTTGTTCATTTCCCTTGTACTTCCGCTTCACTTTGGGTAAGTGTGGCTGTGGCTGTCTTTGCTTACTATAAAAAGCAATCTCTTGGTGATGTTCCCTTTTCCTTCCCTGATTCCTGTTTACTCTTGCATCCCTGCTTTTCCCCCATGTGATTGGATCTATTAGCTCTTACCCAACTTCCACAGATCGAGACATGTGTTTAAGAAGCATTCCTCCCTCCAGGTCAGTTGGACTGGGAGACTCATGTGCACCAGAATCTGCCTGGACTAATGGAAATGGATCAGGATGACCGCGTTGTTTGGCCCAGAGATTCACTCTTCCGATATTTTGAGTTGCTAGAAAAGCTTCAGTATAACTTAGAGGAGCGTAAGCGGTTGCAGCAGTTTGCAGGTATGGATTTAGGGCAGTCATGGGGACCAGGGGTTAAGTACATTGGAGTAGCATAATGGAATAGCATATAACTGGAGAGAAGGAGAAGGGTGTCCACTATTTCAGCATTTCAGCCTGTGAATTTCCACCTCACGCTTAAAAATGTGATTCCTTGGTTTGGTATGCCACATTCTTATGTCCTGATTTTTTATAATCTAGAGAGAACCTGAAGCTTTGCTTCTCCAATAGGGAAAACCTAAATGCTTTGAGGTCTGAGAGTTTGTTTCCCAATTGCAGTTGTTGGATGTTAGGATAATGTGGGCTCTTGCTCCTTTTGTGCAGTCCACTCCCTTTTGGACCTGTTTCTGCTCTCTCAAGGGCATATTTTAGACCTAAGTGGTAGGGCCTCAACCTCAAATTGGGTAGCAATGGGGATTAGACAGTGAGCAGAGAGCTCACAAGTGCCCACTGCTCCTAGCTCCCAAAAGAGGTTTATGAATTAAACATTTTTCTTCCTATCAGCCCCTTTTAGTGTCAGCCTAGGCAAAGAGAAGTATGTACATTATTTAAATAGTAGAGTTAATTTAAGTGGAAAACTACTTGCTCAAAATTCTTTCCCCTAAATTTCACCACTGAGAGATGAATTGGGGTTAATAAATTCTCCCTCTAAAAATACAAAAACTGGAAAAGTTAGGGGTCATTTTTTATAACTTAATAGGGAGTAGTGTTGTCTTCCTCATATCTAATTGAAATCAGCTCAATGTGAAAGTAACAATGAGGGAAGAAGAATGTGTGCGTGATAGGCACAGGAGGGCAATTAGAGGAATTTATACCAGTGAAACATGGAATTTAGAGCAGGATGTCACAGACAGGCTTTGCCTGCTTCAGGTTAATCCTACTCTTTCCAATTGTCCTCCCCACTTGTTCTCTGGGTAGAAACAGGGTGAAAGAGAGGAGAAGGAGCAAAGTAGCTTCTTTAATCTGGGTTAATTAATCTATGGCAAAGATTACTGACTCATAGAGCTTAATGAAAGTAAAAGATTTTCTGTGGGGACCTAGAACCCGGAAAAACAGGGTCTACAGACATTCGGATGTCCTGAATATTCTTTGCTTCATAGCCTCACAGTCCTATTTCTTTACAGTGCAAGCACTGATGAACTTTGAAGACAAGTAAAGCTGACAATGGATGGCTTCAATTTCTTTGGCAAAAATTAATGAAAGGAAGAGTTGGAAATGGAGAATTCAAAGTATAACTGTATAATAAATACTGTTGGTAATTACTTAGTGGTCTGTTTCTGAGACGAAGGGGATACTGAAAGGTATAAAGTCAGGCTGCAAAAGTTAGTTCAGGTGCCAATGGGGCTCATGATGCTTGGTTTTCTACTCTTTGCACAGCTACTGAACCTCATTTTTTTCTTGACTTTGTCCTTGTAACCCCAACCCTTCCTGCAACCTCTACTTCTGGACAGAGTCCTAATTTTACCATCTCCCTCCCTGATGGGTATGGCCCTCTGGGGGTGGGAGGGTAAAGAGATCCCAGGAGCTATAGGGTAAGTAATGGAGAACTATTGTTTCCATTGTGCACTATGATCATTGCTTCTCCTATGCATCATTAACTTTCATCAAATATTGGGGCACTTAGGTGGCTCAGTTGGTTAAGCCTCTGATTCTTGATTTTTGTTCAGGTCATGATCTCAGGGTTGTGGGATCAAGCCCCTTGTCAGACTCAGCACTCAGCACAGTCTGCTTGTCCCTCTTCCTCTGGTCCTCCCTGCCACTCGTGTGTGCTCTCTTGCTTTCTCTCTTTTTCAAATAAATAAATAAATAAAATAAAAATAAAATCTAAAATAAAACCCTGTTAATCAAACATCATTTGATTAAAGGGTCCCTTTATGGGACACCTTGGTGACTCAGTCAGTTGAGCATCTAGCTCTTGATTTGAGCATCCAGCTTAAGCTCAGGTCATGATCTCATGGGTTATGGGATCCAGCCCCATATTGGGTTCCTTGCTCCGTGGGCGGCAGCAGGGGAGTCAGCTCTGCTTGAAATTCTGTCCCTCTGCCCCTCCCCCCACTCACTCACACATGAGGTCTCTCTCTCTCTCTCCCAAATATTTTTTTTTAGCAATTTTTATTTTTAAAATATTTTTATTTATTTATTTGACAGAGAGAGAGATCACAAGTAGGCAGAGAGGCAGACAGAGAAGGGGAAGCAGACTCCCTATAGAGCAGAGAGCCCAATGCAGGGCTCCATCCCAGGACCCTGGGATCATGACCTGAGCTGAAGTCAGAGGCCTAACCCACTGAGCCACCCAGGCGCCCCTCCCAAATAAATATTTTTTTATTTTTTAAGATTTTATTTATTTATTTGACAGAGAGATCACAAGTAGGCAGAGAGGCAGGCTCCCTGTTGAGCAGAGAGCCCAATTTGGGGCTTGATCCCAGGACCCTGAGATCACGACCTGAGCCGAAGGCAGCGGCTTAAACCACTGAGCCACCCAGGCGTCCCCAAGTAAATATTTTTAAAAGATTTGCTCTCAGAGAGAGAAAGCATGAGGAGGGGGATAAAGGGAGAATGGACTCCCCTCTGAGTAGAGAGCAGAACCCTGGAATCAATGACCTAAGCTAAAGGGAGACACTTAACCGACTGAGCCACCCAGGCACCCCTAAATAAATAAATCTTTTTTTAAAGATTTTATTTATTTGACAGAGAGAGATCACAAGTAGGCAGAGAAAGAGGATGAAGCAGGCTCCCTGCTGAGCAGAGAGCCCGATGTGGGGCTCGATCCCTCTGAGCCACTCAGGTGCCCCAATCTTTTTTTTTTTTTTAAGGGTCCCTTTATTCCAGTTCCTTGCCATTGCTCCAGGCAGTGATTCCACTTTGTAGGAGTGTTCAAATCAGTCACTGTTCCATAGATTTTTAGTGTTAGAAGAGGGACTTCAGAGTTCATTTACCTCCCATCAAATCAGGAACATCACTGAAAGGGGGGGGATACCCAATTTATGCTTACATTTGATAACATTTCTAGTTACTGAGGATTTATTATCTAGATGGGATTCCAGTCCACTGTTGGATGACTCAAGTCTTTACAAATATTTGTTATTAGACATCCTGTCGTTTATTCAGTGCTTAACATGTATGAAGATATCTATCATATATATTCATACATAAAAAACACTGAGTTGGGGGCACCTGGGTAGCTCAGTCAGTTAAGCATCTGACTTCAGCTCAGGTCATGAATCCAGAGTCCTGGGACAGAGTCCCCCATGGGGAAATCCCCGCTCAGCAGGGAGTCTGCTTCTCCATCTGCCCCTCTCCCTGCTTGTTCTCTCTCTCTCCCTCTGTCAAAATCTTTTTTTAAAAAAACCCCACTGAATTGTACACTTTAAAATGGTGAATTTTATGTTATGTGGATTAGATCTCAATTTTTTTAAAGATTTTATTTTTTAGGAATCCCTACACCCAACGTGGGCCTCAAACTCATGACCCCAAAATCAAAAGCCACATGCTCCACCAACTGAGCCACCCAGGCACCTCTAGATCTCAATTTTTAAAATGAAGTAAAGAGGGACACCTGGTCGGTTAAGCTTCTTCCTTCAGCTCAGGTCATGATCCTAGGGTCCTCCTCCCTACTCAGCTGTAAGTCTGCTCTCCCTTCCCTCTACCTGCAGCTCCCTCTGTTTGTGCTTTCTCTCTCTCTGTCAAGTAAATAAAATCTTTTACTTATTTTTTTTTTAAGATTTTGTTATTTACTTGACAGAGATCACAAGTAGGTAGAGAGGCAGGCAGAGAGAGAGGGGGAAGCAGGCTCCCGGTTGAGCAGAGAGACTGATGCGGGGCTCGATCCCAGGACCTTCAGACCATGACCTGAACTGAAGGCAGAGGCCCAACCCTCTGAGCCACCCAGGCACAATGTAAATAAAATCTTTTAAAAAATAAAGTAAAAATTGTCTAAAACCAAGAACCAACATTGTTATAAGGAAAACCGTTTTAGGCATTCTCCATTAAAATGAGAAACAAAAATGTTTCAAAATAAACATCAACATATAATATTGTATTAAAAATCCTATCATAAGAAATAGGATATAACTATTTGGAAAGAAGAGAGGGATGCATGAAATATGTGAAAAAGATTAAGAGTACACTTATTGTGACAAGCACTGAGTAATGTATAGAATTGTTGAATCATTATATCGTACACCTAAAACTAATATAACACTGTTAATTATACTCAAACTAAAAAAATAAAATAAAAATCTAAACAGGAATTTAAAAAACCCAAAAAATGGGACGCCTGGGTGGCTCAGTTGGTTGAGCAGCTGCCCTCAGCTCAAGTCATGATCCTAGCGTCCTGGGATCGAGTCCCACATCGGGCTCCTTGCTTGGCTGGAAGCCTGCTTCTCCCTCTGCCTCTGCCTGCCACTCTGTCTGCCTGTGCTCGTTCTTGCTCCTCTCTCCTGACAAATAAATAAATAAAATCTTAAAAAAAAACCCCAAAAATGTATTTAGAAATTAAAACTAGAGGGGTTCCTGTAAGGCTCAGTCAAATGTCTGACTCTTGATTTCCGCAGCTCAGGTCATGATCATGATCTCAGGGTCTTAAAATTTAGCCCTGTGTGGGGCTCCCTGCTCAGCACAGAGTCTGCTTGAGATTATCTCTTCCTCTGCCTCTTCCCCTGCTCTCTCGCTTTCTTTCAAATAAAAGTCTTTAGAAAAACTAGAAATACCATTTTTATTTTTTTTTAAGATTTTATTTATTTATTTGACAGACAGAGATTACAAGTAGTCAGAGAGGCAGGCAGGAAGAGAAGAAGAAGCAAGCTCCCCTCTGAGCAGAGAGCCCAATGCGGGCAGGGCTCGATTCCAGGATCCTGGGATCATGACCTGAGCCAAAGACAGAGGTTTTAACCCACTGAGCCACCCAGGCATCCCTAGAAATGCTATTTTTAGACATGACTGTATACCTAGAAGCCCCAAAAGAATCAACTAGAATAAGAGATAACAGAAGGATTTCAGCTGAATACAAACAGAAGAGGATTGGAGACAGAAACGGGGGAAACAGGTACATTTAAGGGATAGAAGGAGGAAAAGGAGCTGGAAGAAGCCTGAGGAGAAAAACCTTAAGAGACAGAGGATAATCATTGTGCAGTACTGTTCTAAGAGCCAAGATAGACTTTCAAGAAAGAAATGGTCCAGTCAGATCTGGATTAGAGCATCCATTGAGCCTGGTAATCAGAATTCAACAAACCTAAAAAGCAGAGTAAGGAAATATTATTATTATTATTAAAGATTTTATTTATTTATTTGACAGACAGAGATCACAAGTAGGCAGAGAGGCAGGCAGAGAGAGAGGAGGAAGCAGGCTCCCCGCTGAGCAGAGAGCCCGATGCAGGGCTCGATCCCAGGACCCTGGGATTATGACCCGAGCCGAAGGCAGAGGCTTTAACCCACTGAGCCACCCAGGAGCCCCAGGAAATATTATTTAATAAATCTTACATATGCTATCCACAAAGTAGATGCTCACTGAGTATCTTTGAGTAGCTTTGCTCAAAGTGAATCTGAGGACCAGCAGAAGTTGTTTCATCTGGGAACTTGCTGGAAGTGCAGAATCAAGTTCCTGTCCTTAGAGCCTATTGAATCAAGTGTTACTTACGCATGTTAAAGTTTCCAAAAACACTTCTTTATAGGTATTTAAT